GGATCTTCCTTTGCTGAGGTACAGACGTGAAACACCTGGTGACATGTTCAGGTTTTTCAGTAGCTGTTGCATATTAAAGAAGATCAGCCAAACTGGTCTGATGAGTTGTGTCAATTCTGCTGCTTTGTAATTTCCGCCTGCACACCTGGAAGCATTGTTCCCCGCTCTGCCTTACTGGAGCTGTGACGACTTTTTTTAAGCAGAAGTCATTTTTGGTGCATTACATCTTCCTTGTTTTTTTAAATCCTCACCCAAGGACATGTTTATTGATTTTAGAGAGAGAAAGAGAGAGAGAGAAGCATTGATGAGAAACATCGATTGGTTGCTTCTCCTACGTGCCCCAACCAGGGATCAAATCCACAAGCTTTTGATTTACAGGATAACACTCCAGCCAGCTGAGTCCCCCTGCCAGGGTGTGGGTTCCATCTCCTGACTGCATCTGAGCTGCGGCTTTCACAATGAATTGTGTGTCTAGTGGTAGACATTAAGGATCCCCTTTATGTTTTCTTTTTCTTTTTTTTTTTCCTTTTCTTTCCTTTCTTTTCCTTTTCTTTTTTTTTTTTTTGGCGTTAAAACAACAGAAAGTCATGGTTTCACGGTTCTGAAGGCCATAGGTCAGAGGTCACATAGGTGGCAGGGTTGGCCACTGCTGGAGGCTCTGAGGGAGAATCTGCTCCCTGCCCCTTCCAAGCGTCTGGCAGTTGCCGGCAGTCCTTGGTGCTCCTTGGCTTGTGGGAGCATCACGTCAGTCTTTGCCTCCTTCATCTACGTATTGCTGCCTTTATTCCATGTGCGACTCTGTGTCTCTTGTTCTAAGGACACCAGTCATTGAATCAAGGCCTGCACACTCCAGTACGACTACATATTGACTCATTATGTCTGAAAAATTCTCTTTCCAAAAGGGGTCACATTCTGATGTTGCTGGTGCCGGTGAATTTTGGAGGAATGCTATTCAACCCAGTACAGGAAAGAAAGCCCGACTCTTTATTAGACAGACTTGAAGCAATCCTCTGTTCTCTGCCTCACACCTCCTGACTTCAGACGTACCTGAGCATTCGTTCCTGAGTCCTTCTCCGCCTGGTTCCACTTGCTGTGGTCTCTCCAGTCCTGCAGGCTCAGCTTCCACTTCCTCTGTTTTGCCCAGGGACAGACCTTTCGCGGCCGACATACAGTCATCCTGGGCATAGACTCTGGGGCCAGACCATCTGGGTTTAAATCCTGGTTCTGTGGCTGTGTTACCTCACACAAGTGACCTAACGTCTCTGTGCCTCAGTTTGCTCATTTGTAAAAGGGGGTTGATGATAAGAGTACCTACTGCACACAGTTATTTTGAGGAGTAAGGGGAGTGCTTAGGATGGTGCCTGGGATGAAGAGTTTATGATGACTCTCGGCCACTTTACTTCTAGGTTCAAACGTGTAGGGGCAGTTTTTCCTCTGGTTGCCTTTGTCCCTGTGTGTTTTCAGAGGCCGCTTTCATCTTGGACTGCAAGCATACCCATTTTCTTCTCAAAATTCGCTGGAAGTTCAGAAGGGGTATGATATGTGGGGCAGTTATGATTAGTTTATAGCTTACATTACTGTCTAGTTTTGAACATTAGAAAAGAGGCTTTGATATGTGGGCTAGACCGTAATACGTGAGCGTGATGTTTCCCAAGAGTTAGAGATGATTATGAGAGACGTTTTTGTGATATCAGATCAAACACAATGTGACAAGTCACGAAATTTTATCACATGGATCCATGGCTAAGAGTTTTGAAATGTTGTTTTGTCATTTTTCCTCTGAGAATGTCAGAAAGAAATCGAATGAATACAGCGTCTTCAAGCCTGATATATACTAGGTAACCGCATTAGGTTGGTTGGTTTGTTATTTTTTGGTTCATAAGGTTTTTAACTGTCTTTTGTTTTGCAGTGAAGATTTTTAAAGTTTGCTCAGAGAACTTAAAATGTGAGAGGCATAGGTCAAAGAAAAGCAAAGCTTATAAAACCGGATTCCAAAGAAAGAAACAAGATTTTAATACAAGACCGAAAATAGACAAAACTGGGGAGCTCCTATAGTTTTAGTCAAAATCCAGCACCCTGGTCCTCTTACCCCGCGTTTGTGTTCTGTTCATGGCGGAGGGGTACCTGGGGCAAACAGAGTGCAACCCACAGAAGAGCACCAGGCCCTCTGGGCCAGACCGTGCGGCTCTTGGGCGGATGCGATTCCAGCCTCCTTGTCGTGGTCAGAGAGCAGTCAGACAGACGTACCCGGGCACTTTCTCCTCGGGCACTTGCACGTGACTCTGAAAGGCTGGTTGTTCACATCTGTCTGTTATGTGGCAGACCTGTTTCTCATCCAACTCGGTGGTATTTCAGGGTGGAGAACCCCCCGTAGAAACCATTTGTCGGCTCCCCCAGGACCTCCACGGCACTGGGGTTGGTTCCCTGCCCCTCTGCCTGGTCCAGCCAGGTCACACTGGGCTTAAGGTCCCAGCCCTCGGTGATGCCCATGGCCACGTCCTCATCATCGAGCCTGTGAAACTGCACCTGGGGCCTTTCAGAGTCTTTTACTATTAACTTGACTGTACTTTTGCCTCTTCCATGTGGTGTGATGGCTGAGCACTCGTAGTTTCGTCCATGAAGTTCACATTTCTGAGTAAAAGTGAGAGAGTCCCCTCAGAAATTTCAGCCCGATCCTCAGAGACTCCTCCCTCTTACGGGCAGTTCTGGTCCTGTAGTTGCTCTCGAATTCCTCTTGGATGTCTTCTTGTTCCCAGGAAAACAAGGTTTTCTGTGCCCTCCACCAAGGAGGAACGGCAGGAGAGGGCAGTGAATGCCAGTGAAAGGGCGGCCTGTAGCGCTTCCCTAGACGCCGCACCACGGACAAGCCAGGGGTATGTTGACAGTCGGCAGAAAAAAAGACCTTCTGTGTTACAGCTGGTCCCTCTGATCAGCCAGGTGAGAAGCAGGTGGGGTGGAGTCAGGCAGGTCTTCAAAGGGGCCGTTGTGTGGCAGTCTCCAGGGGCTTCTCAGTGATTCCGTTGTTACCAAACTGTTGCAGCAAAAGTGCAATGCTCCGTGAAACTTAATATTTCTGATGGCTGTATTTTTTGGCTAAAAAAAAAACGTGTTTGCAAGGAAACCTAGACAGCATAGCAAGGTGGCCCTGGACTTAGGGGACAGGTTACCAGATGGGGACTGTGTAAAGCATGGCAGGGTTCAGAGAGCAGTGACCTGCGTTAGTTTTGAAAGCAGTATGGACGTGTCCTTATCTCATGCTGGGAGGGGGTTACGAATAATAATGCATTAGGGAAGCAAAGTCCATTCTGCTTCCAGGACCAGCATGTTTGTGGTGCCCTCAAGTGCGAAAAGCTATGAGGCTAGATTTGCTCCTTTCATAGGAATTGTCTCCATGTTCCATTTGGATAATTGATTTAAAAGAACTAGTGGCAAAAGTGTACATTTAGGACTAAAATTAATGCAGTTTTTGAGTTGATGTTCACTTCTGTTATTAATCAACCTAAAACAATTGATCGATTATTATTCAGCAAAGCCAGGAGTGTTAATACACTTGGAAGTTTAGGGACAAAACTGGGTATCTGTTTGGAAGGCTGGTAGTAAGATAAATAATGTGGATTTGCAATCCCTCCAGCCCGTGAAGGCAAGGCGCGCTTCCCTTCTGAAGGCCCGGCTTGGGGACCTGCCCTGCAAAGGGAGGGTGTGTGACAGCAGGCGCGGTGCTATGGCTTAAAGACCAAGGGACCTAACTCTGTGCCCTGCAAATGACTTGCTGTCTTTGGTCATCTCCATTAAATGGGAAATTATAAAAATATTTCCCTACCTAGAAATGAAATTGGCTTAAAAAAAAATGTGCCTAGACAGACAGGTGTAGATATACATAGGTTGATCCATTCATCCCTCTTAACCTTTTTTCTGGGTTCCCTGGCTCCACCTGAAAAATTTCCCGAGACTTTACTAGAATGCACTATGAAATCTGTGAAACAATGAAGGCTTTGGTCCCTCAATATTTACCAAGACTTGCTAAGTATAACCTCTACAGAAACATTTTACATAATTAACTCCTGAAGATAAGGAGAAACCAGCAGATAGTTCTCAGAACACCTAAATGGGAGAGAAGGGTTTTTCTGCTTTACTTTTCTGGTTTTGATGGACAAATTCCTCTGAAAAGTACCTGTTCGCGTTAGGAGAGGAAGTATGAGATTTCTCAGGCGAAACCGGCAATGGTCACGTGAACCTGGTGGGGAGGGGGCTGACGAGTGCCTGCAAGGCCAAAGCATAGATTCCTTTCGGTAAGTTTGGATTCATTTTCCAGACACAAGAGGGAGAAATAGACCTTGAGTCCGGAAAACCAGCAGTTAAAGCCAAGTTATCAAAAAAACACTTACCTTCAAATTTAAATTTGGATTAGACTGGAAAAGGAAGCATTGTAACTGGAGTATAGGTATAAAATGTGGTTCATTGTTCCCCCGCCGGGGCCTGTTAAGAGTCTAGTAAAGGATTAATGAAGGAATTTAGTATTTAACAGTTTGCTTTGGTAAAAAGTATGCAAGCTGAGTCTGAGGGAAGGCAGTAAGCGCCAACCAAGTCTCAGGTGCTGTCGTGACCTGTGTGACGCAGCACGAACGCCACCCTCCCAGTAGCCCCGTAAACACCTGACATGCAGAGAAGCTAACCAAGTGGGAGAACTTAGACGGTCCTGCGCTCAAACGACAAAGCGAGAGGCCCAAAGCGAGAGGCCCGGCGTTCCATCCCGCAGCGGCCTGTGTGTGACTGCGGAGCGCTCCTCCTGGCTCGTCTGGCTTCGCTGGGGGAACCCTTCCTGAGGACTTACCATAGGCTGGAAGTGTCGATTGGTTTCTTCCTGCCCTCTATCCCCGTGGGTCCCACTGTGCGTCTCAGGCATGATGGTTGGTTCTTTGGCCCTCATCATTCTTCATTTGCTTTCCCCTAGTCACACTGGTGACTATTAATATAACGTAAATGTCTTTTTTTTTTTCCAGTCCTCCTCGCCCTCTGGCCAACATGAATGACACCATGGTGAGCCACATGTCCTCCGGAGCGCCCACGCCCACCAAGAGGTACGTGTCACGGCTCGCGCCTCAGTCGCCATGCAGGTTTGGGGACAGGCCTCTGGCTGGGAAGCAGCGCGTTCCACAGGGCAGAAAGGACTGGCTTGCTTTCGCCTCCTTTGACTCTCTTTTAATTTTATTTTCACTTTTTACTTATTTATTTTCCCAGTTACTCCTAAATATAGCAGCTGAAGGAGTCTGTTTTGAGTGGTGCCTTGAGGTGGAAAACGGCATTCTCGACAAGCAGCGAACATAGTGTCAAAACAGATTAGGCGTGTTTGAGGTCTTTTTTGAACATTAAAAACATTTTGATAATCATGCATTTCAACACCCTTGCATTTGAGTTCTTTGAGTGTCAAAGATGGATTCTGTGTCCTGATGAGACTGTGTAAAGTAACTCTTTACATTCTCCTAGGTCATTCCGTAGACGATTCATAAACATGGGAGTTGAAAAGCACAAGTCCCTCTCTTAGCTGTATGAGTAGTTTCCCTTACTGGCCTTTGAGGAACTAGAACTGTGTGTCTGCTTTCTCTTTATTTAATTTACTTTGCTCCAGAATTCTCTTAGGCAGAACTTAAAAGAACTATATAACATGGCTTACTTTCGATTTGATTTAAGCTGCTCCCTGACCAGAGCAATGCAGAAACTCCCTCAGGGGCACAGCCATTAAAGAATTCTTTCTAACAGTCACCGCTCAGAAAGGAAACGAGAAGAAAAGCATTTCAGCCCACTCCCCAAGTCCCTCCCACGGGAAATCACTTCGTGGCACAGTGTGCTGATGGCTTTGGATTAACTCAGCTGTGGAAATATCATCTGGTTACTAATACTTTGACTTAATATATAACATACAGCAGGTCCTCAGATAGCATTGCTTCATTCACTGTCATTGCATTATGCTGCTGGTAAGATGCCCTCGGAACTGGTCTCGTTTATATCCACTAGCCTATGGTGAAATGGGTTTCATTATACATCATTTTGCCGCAGTTCCAAGAACCTACCCACAACACTGAGGGAGTACTGACTACACAATGCTAAGATCAACTCCGTTAGTTCCCATTGGCTAAAACTCCCAGAGCATGTTTCCCAAACTTGACCGGTGCAAACAGCCACCTGGGCCACTTCTGAAAGGTACAACCAGCTGTGATCACATCATACCCAGTGGATCCTGAGACCCTGAGAAGCTACACATTCAGCAAGAATTCCAGGTGATTCTTATCATCAGGCAAGTGTGGAAAATAGCCTTAGGAAGAAGCTAAGTAGTAAGCCGTAGGCAGGCTCCCCTGAAATAGAGGGCTTGGGGGCTTCATAAATCAGAGCATCCCGGCAGCCCGGTGCAGCCCACGTGGAGACTCCAGACCTGACCCGGTGAGAGCGCGCGCCCACCGCCGTGTTGGAACACTGCAGGCAGGGGGATGCCACGCCACGTCTTGTGGGCGGAGATGAGTGGTACTGTGTGTTAGAGCGTAGACTTTTTGTTGTTTTACGTTCTCAAGATATTTACTTATTTTTCTCTTTTTAAAAATCGAGTGTATTGGGGGCGACATTGGTTAATAAAACCATACGGTTTCACGTGTACGGCTCTGTAACGTGTCATCTGCACACTGCATCATGCTGGGTCGGCGATTTTCGACCAGCGTGCTGCAAGGGTTTTTAAGACATGCAGTAGCTGACTATGCAGTTGAGGACACGGACCTCTTTTCCCTTAGACTGTCAAACAAAAAGTTGACAAGAAGGCTGTGGACATTTCATGTAACTATGGCAATACCAAGAACCCTCAGTATAAAACTTTTTGCTTTGTGTATTTGGTTGGTATATTTGTATCAGCTCTTGACTTCAGATATTAAAATTTAACTTTAAAAAGCACAAACCCAGTTAAGCAAGATGAAAACATTAAAATGAACACTACTATACTGTGCCCTTAGAAATGTTAGGGGATAGATCTCACGTTATGTGTTCTCACGCAAGTGAAAAAGGGGGGAAGGCACAAACCCACAAAGGCAGAAGCAGAAAGGGAAGGGCAGAAGCGTCCGTGGGTCACAAGGGCAGCTGAACTGCCCCAGGATGCCCTGCGTGTCCTGCTTCCTCCGTCTTCCTGCCCTTGTACTGCGGGAGAGCGACTTCTCATTACTGCCAACACTTCAGACACACATCCAGCGCCTGCCACTCAAGATGCCGTGCTTCTCCCACGGATGAGAAAGCTCCAAGGATTGTATGACTGCCCATCCTTGTATGTGTGTGATGAGTTACACCGCTAAGAACAGCAGAGAGCGATCCTGGGAAAGAAAAGTAATGCAGGTTGTTGGCAGACCACTGTTTTGCCGCCCAGCACACAAATGTGTGCAAAAGTGCGCACATGCCCACACGAACAAGCCCTCACACACATCCCATACACACTGACATTTTCAGAGTTTTCCTTCTTCACACGGTATAGCCCTCCGTACACAACTGCAAATGCACGCACGCCTTTCCCAGGAGTTCACCCTCCTCCCGCCGGCAGCACAGGGCCCCAGATGACTCGGTTATGTCCATCTGTCCAGGTGAGGGCCAGGTAGGCCCCTAATTCTGAATAGTCACCGATTGCTAGGAATCTTAAGAAAAGGCGGGATGTTATCAGTTGGAATTTTTTTATGTTACTTTAACACCAACTTCACAAGAAGGAAAAGCAGTTTTTAAAGGCCAGAAGATCTCACCGTAAAAATACTATTTCTGACCAAATTAGGAGAGGTAATAGTATTAAAAAGACTTTCTGCTTGGGCGCCAGGTAAAGAGTTTATCCCGTCACCTGCGGACCACGGTCGAGCGACGAAAGCCACAGGCTGCTGTGTTTTCAGACTGAGGACAGGGGGGATGTTGGGGAACCCGGGAAAGGAGGCAAAATGGAATCGGTCGAGCCGGAAGCTGTCCATTTCTGGAGTCACGCCACTGATTCTCATCCTTCCTGTGCAATGAGAAAAACAGAATTTGGTTGAAAAGCACAGTAATGAAGGATTCAGCATGGTCATGGAACAACTAGGTCGTGTGAATTCATGAGAATCTCTCCATGGCAACGCAGGGATTTTTTTTTTCCCTCCAATATTTTTTTGAAAGACAAGAAAGCAGAGTAATTGAAAATTAACACATAACTTGCATGGAACGGCAGGGTCCTCGCTGCTGGCCGGGCTGCTGGCAGGGCTCCAGAGTCCGTCCGTCCTGTAGCCTGGGCAGACCTCCAGCTTTTAACTGCTCCCGGGTTGGGGTTAAAGTCCGTTTCCACTCGTGCACTTAAGGTGAACCCCTCCGCAGCTCTCACTCAGGTTAACACAATCAACAACAAGGCACGTGTATAATTATAATTTACATATACAGTCATATATAGGTATTCTGTCAAAAAGGGGAAGTTTAAATTCAAAAAGCAAATCTGGAAATCAGGTACAATTTTGAATGTGAGTAGGAAATACGTGGGCACTTAATTTCTTCAGCTACTGTAGGCTGCTGGGATAATGCTTTCCCTCTTGGCTCAGACCCCTAATTATCTGGCAAACAACGCCAGTTCTGAACAGCAGTCTTCACGTGAAGCCGGCGGAGCGCAGCCGACTGTTGCACCTGCAGTGCACGCCTCACCTCTGTTCTGCCATCCCCCGGTCAGGTCTCCGCTTCCCCTCACTCCGCCAAAGCCGTTCCTGTCCCGGAGGCCAGTGGAGACCGGTGGAGACCGGTGACTGCCTCAGCGCGAATCCAGGGGTGAAGTGTCAGGGCTTCTCTTCCTTGATCCGTCAGCGGCAGTTGACACAGAGGCGCACTTTCTTCTACTTGAAACACTTTCTGCCCTTGCCTCTAGGTAGTGTGCCCTTCTGGTTTTCCTCTTATCCCTCCTCGGCTTCCCTTGCTGGCTTTTTCGTGCTTCTTTGAACTCCAGACGTTAGTGTACCAGAGGGAGCACTTCTCACTTTTGTCTGTACTCACTCACTGCAGGGAATCCCATCTAGAGTCACAGCTTTAACACTGTCTACATATTGGAGACTTCCAAACTTATTTTCCTGCCCCGACCTTTTCCCTTGTACTCTCCTCCCAGTCAGTGTTTTCGCTTGGCCGTTTCACGCATGTCTCACAATCGGCGTGTGTCAAGCCGAGTACTGTGTCTTTCCCCACCGAACCTACTTCCCCCGTGTCTTCCCCTGTCTCAGTTAATGGCGGTTCTCCTAGTTGCTAAGTCAGAATCTTTGATCCTCGTCCCATCTAATCTGTCAGATTATTAGATCAGCGTCATCCAAAAACACCATCCAAATACGTTCAAGATCTTGCTATTTCTAACCACTTCTGCTACTACTGTTTTCCGAGCCTCTTTTGTCTCTCATCTGGAATGATGCAGCAGCCTTCTAATTAGCTGCTGCTTCCCCTGGCTCTGGCACTTCATCTGACAATGAGCCTTTTACAATAGAAGCTGCATCGTAGCTCACCTCTGCTCTAAGTCCTCCAATAACTTTACGCCTTAGAGTGAAAACTAAAACCCTTGCAGTGGCCTGCCTACCAGGTTATACAGCACTACTTCTCAAGATCTGCCTTGAAGAAGCAGTTTTATTTTAATTTCTAGTTTGAAGTGGATCAATACTTTACAAAAGTATGATACAAATGAGTTCCTATAAAGAGATCTTTCACTCTGGTCATGATGAAGGAACTGGCATCAGATTTAGCTCTTCCACTATACTTTATGCTAGAAAACCAGTCTGCGTATAACAACTGTTTTCAGAAATCAGAAGGTGGATAAGGCAGGGCTGATCTCTGAGAGACAAGAAACACAGGAGGAGATTGCTGTGATTGTCCAGGCTTCCTGCTGAGAGGCATGTGCCCAGCTCCAGGGCGGGGTATAAACAGAGCAAGGCAGGCTTGCTGGGAATACGGAGACAGAGGTTGCAGTCTGGGAGGCAGGAGTTTTTGGAGCAGATGACCAGAGCGTAGCAAGTGTGCAGAGAAAGAGCTCCATAAATCCGCATAGAGGACTCCTGAGTCTTTGGCTGAAAACTAAGCTATATTTCCAAAGAATGAGATCTCACAAGACCAGTAAAGAACAATTTACCTGGGAAATTACAGCCCCTGAGGAATTCGAAAGTGGAATAAGTACCTGGGATTACGCGGTTGTTGAGTTTCAAGCAACACAGTAGAAAGACATCATTGAATGCTTGAGGCATTCAGTAAAGACCCGGAGAGTCCTAGGAGCAGGGCAAAAACCATCCTAGATAAAGGTCACCCTGGGTTTGTACTGATGAGGCTTAAACCCAAGCCTCTTAAGGATCCAGCTGTCCACAAGCAAATTAACTAACAGATTCTTTGGAGGAAGACATCAAAATCCAGACATTCAAAAAAAATTTTTTTAAACTTTAATGCAGACACTGAACAACATAATATTCACCATTTCCATCATCCAGTAAAAAACTAGAAGGTGTAGGAAGAAGCAGGAAAGTATGGCCTGTAACCAGGAGAAAATTGGTTGACATAAAAAGCGTCAGAAGTAACAGCCATGAGGCAATTAGCAGATAGAGACTTCAGAACACCGTGATGAACACCAAAGAATACAATGGAAAATATGAACATATTGAAGAGGAAAATGGAAGAAATGAAACAGAAGCAGGTATGAATGTAAATCTAACTTTCTACTTAAAATTCTTTCCTTAAAACACAACTTCCGGAGTTGAAAAGGATGACACCTTATATGGGAAACTCCAGGGGTGGACTTAACAGACCAGAATGCGGGCAAGAAGCCCACGGAGCTTAGAGACAGGCGACCCGGAGTGCGGCCCAGGGAAGGAAGAGGTCAGAGAGCAAGCCCAGCGTCGGTGACTGGTGGGGCAATGCCAAGCAGTCCAACAGAGGAGGCAGAGGAAAAACAGTTAAGAAAATAAGTGTTTTTCCAAATAAATTAAGATTACAAACCCACATATACAGGAAGCTCAACACACTGTAAGCAGGATACTTAGAGGAAACCATACCACAGCGCAGCACAATCCAATTGCTAAAAACTAGTGATAAAGAGAAAGTATTCAAAGCAGCTAGACCAACAATGATGTTACTTACAGGGGAACAAAGATAAGATTTTTTTCAATGGCTTCTCATTAAAAACAATGCAAGCTAGAAGAAAATGGGATGGCATCTGGAAGTGCTGAGAATTTTAGTTTTTAAATATATACATTTACTAACTTTATCCCCTGAAAAGCTCTGGAAGCAGTGACAGCCCAGGAACAGTGAGCACCCTGGACCCCGGACTGTGGTCCCTTTAACACTCTTTTTCCGGCAAAGGGAACCTGAAGTCCTTGGAAGAACAGTGGACCTCAGGTGTGGGGTAGGGTGGGACTACACAAGGTGGGACTACACAAGGTGGGACTAGGCATCCTGTTGTCCCAAGCGAGAAATCCAGTACGAGCTACTGCCTATGTCAGGAGAACACAGGAACCTACTACCTGCAGGACTCCCACTGACCAAAGGCAGGACAATCTGAGCCACAGAAAGATGATTGTCATGGACCGAAGCACATCAGATACATGCAGATCTGTGAGTTCATATGATACTAAAAAAGAACAGCCCTTGGTAACCATTGGAGTTTGCTAGGGTACCAACTAACTCATTGTCCTGAATTTTGTTAAATAATTGGAAACATCAACCATTTGTTTTACCTATTCTGAATGAGCACTGTTTCAAGATAAACAAATAGAGGAAAGTTTTAAATGGAGAAAATCAACACTTTGCAGCTGCTAATGAAATAATGAATGTGGTCAAGAACATCAGTAAATGCAGAAATCATCAGGTGTGAAGTTGATGAGGGACTCATGACGGAGAGATGTAACCAGTAACATCTGAGCCCACCTGTCAGCATTCACATTCCATTGTGTGCCTCCTATTTGGTGTATGAGTCTGCCATATTACCTGTGGTGGATCCTAGCCCCTCCCCCCTACAAAAACCCCCACAAAAAACCTTCAATCAGGTATTTATATCTAATCACAGAGGATAGAGAGACAAATTAAATGACACCACCAGAAATAACCAGTTAAATACAGAATATAGGGTATGCTAAAAGACAGCCTGTTTTCTTCACAAATAAATGACAGAAATGGAAAAGCAGAAAGTGTTACAGATTAAAAACAGAAACATCAACCAATTGCAAGGTCTGTGGACCTCGTCTGGATCTTGATTTTAACTGTAAATGTATTTTTTTAAAAGATTGGTGAAATTTTCAGATGGACTGCGTTTAAATATTTTTGTTAATTTTTCAGGTGTCATAACGGCATTGAGGTCATTTGAATTAAGTATGTCTGAGGCAAATACTAAGTTGTCTGGGATTTGCTATGACCACCTTTCCTGCACAAACTGTTAGGAAAAGAAAAACTAGGGTAAATAAGTAGGAAAGTGTTGATTTTTATTGATGTTTGGTGATGGGTATGTGACGGGTAGTCAGTGGATTCTGCCCTATTTTGTGCATACTTTAACATAAAAAGTATTTATTTTTAAAAAGATAGAACGCTCGAGGACCTTCCATCGATCAGGAAGAGAGCCTCTCGCTTAGCACGTGCGAAGTGTGTCTCCCAGTGAGATAGAGTCCAACAAGTTCGGTGTAAGCGCCAATCGTGTGGGAGAAAGCAGAGCGATGCTGAAGGCAGTGTCCTTACAGAAACGGAGAGGGTTAGCTGCCGCCGTGAGGCAGCACTGACAACTCCTACCTGTAGACAGAAGCGATGAAAGCATTAGGGGGCCACTGCGTGCTCTAAAGGGACCCACTTCACCTGTTCTCGTGCCAGCCAGCATTTCCTTAAAGGTGCACCCATCACGGAGCCCGGAACCTGGACAGGACTGCAGGGCAAGGCTCCTTGGTGACCCCTCCGTGGTTTCTTCTCTCAAGGGTTCTGCTGTCAGGTGGCCAAAGCCGTCTGCTAAGGGACTACTTTTGTTGAAAGGATTCGTGAGACATATTCCGTATGGCCTAACATCACATTACATTGTGCTTTGTGTGTTTTTTTTAATTTGTCTAATTGCAATTTATTATTTTTCTATATTTCTTTGAAATTTGCCCACTTTAATTCAATGTTCATTTCTCGCTCTGTGTTTGTGTCATGCTTGCTGTCCTTGCCTCTGTTGTTCCCAGGTTACAGTGTAGCCAGGACATACCCGGTCACCTGGCCGATGAGCATGCGCTGATAGCCTCCTATGTGGCCCGCCTGCAGCACTGTGCACGGTCAGTGGTAGGGCGGCAGCAGGCGGGTGACCCGGGGCTGAGCAGAGGGCGGGAGAGCTGGGTTGCCCGGGGCTGCCAGCTGGAAAAAGCTCCGCGTGTGGGGTTTTGCTTGAGAAGCTCCCAGCTATGTTTGGCAGGGTTTATGTTATTGCTAAAGCATTAACTTCTAAAGGAGAAGGAGCCTTGCCAAGCCCAGGCACTTACCTAAACATATAGTCAGAATTCTCCTGCAAAGTGGAACTCACTTCCTTCAGATGATACTCAAAGAATATCTAAACCTCGGAGAGCTAGGCAGTCCCGGAGATGTACATCCAACAGAGGCATTCCATGAGCCCCTCACTGTTCACCCTGGCCTAGGTCAGGAAACCTTCCTGTTGACACCCAAAGCTTAGGTCAGCCAACCCGCAGACATCGCACTTTGTCTAATCTTCGGTGTCTCCACCCTGTTACATCTTCCCATGTCACACCGCCATCTCTTCCCCCAAGTCTATCATTGTTGATCATTTAAACCAGCGCTTTTCAACCGTGGTATTGGATCGTTGTCCGACGCCTAGGGACTTTTCCCAGTGGTGTATGCCTCCTCCTACTGCAACGGTTATATGGACTATACTAGCCCCACACGCCCCTTTCCCTGAAGACTGTGATCGCGACTCATTCTTCATATGGGAATGTGACCGACCCTTCAGTGGGTTAGGACGGAAAACCGTTTGATAACCACTAACCACAGCGAAGGCAACCCTTTAACAGAGTTCGTACCAAACAAAGTGCTGTCACATTCAGGCAGACCCAGCCGCCCGCCCGCGCCACGCCCACTCCCACCAGCGCTCCGCAAGGAGAATGCAAGTGAAGTGTCAGTCACCCAAGGCCATCCCAGCTGCTCTGCGTGGCAGAGTCACTGTACCCAACAACAGGAGATTCTTAGTCTTGGGGGGACCCCATAATTCATAGACTAAACACACAAGGGAGGCTGGAGCCTTAAAATTTGATCTTCCTTTTGCCCATAGCATGCCATGGTTCCATGAGAAGGTAACTCTTATTCCCCATGATAACAGATAAATTAATAGTCAATGAGAAATGCATATATTTAAAAAGGACTCTTGTCAATATTATACTTCATATCATTTCCCACAGCTTCCCTAGTATGACTAAACAACATTGGTACTGTTAGGCCTTTACCTATCTGTAGAGCCTCAGAGAGACTGGAGGGTTCTCCTGCTTCCCCAGTAGGTTTGACAGGCTTACCCTGCAGGAGGGAAGTCAGGGCCTGGTTGATGCCTGTGCACGGGGTCACAGAGAGTGTCTTTTCGTCCAGCACAGCTGATTTCCGTGCACTCTGCCCCTGCCCCTCGGTCTGGAGGAGCAGAGCCGTCTCATCCTCACCCCAGGCAGGGCAGCTCACTTAAAATCAGTCAGGGCAACTGCCCAGGTGGTTACAAGTTGCCACGGGGGAAGTGGCAACTGAATGTTGGACAGCAACTGCCACCCGATATTTCAGCCCAAGAAGATTTATGGTGGGTTTAGCCAAGGAGTCTTTGGCTTAGGGAGAAGGCTCCCTGCTCAAGAATCGGTGGCCAGGGGCCCGGGAGAATGTGAAGATGCGGTGAGTACTACATCTCTCCCCGATTCATACTCGAAGGAACTGAGCTTCCTCCTTCCTCAAAGAAATCAGACATTTCATGGCTAACTCTGCAGATGAATTCATGCAAATGAATTCAGTTCAAGAAGAATAGGGGACCTTGCTAGTTTTCCTCATAATTTTCATTGACCTTAAAACCTCTCGTCAACATAAAGTTCTCGTTTCTGGCTGGAAAGCAGAGTCCATCAGAACAGCCCTGTTGTCCGCACTTGGGTGTAAATGACGAGCAGGGCTGACCTTCCCTGGGCGCTGGGCGCTGGGACGTGCTGGAGAAGGAGCCCTCCTGCCCAGAGGAGCACGGTGGCCCTCGCCGAAAGACAGAGGTTACCGTGTTAAGTCTCACTTCCTAGGCTGCCAGTCCCTCCAGAGTATTATCTCCTTGTACTGTTAAATATTCATTTCTGTTGTTTACTGAAAGGGTAAAGGTAGTTCTCTTGTGTCAGACAGACACCTTGAAAGCACAGACACATTTCGGCCCAGACCTTGGGGCCTTGGCCCGAAGGTGTTAAAGTCGGCTGATGGTAGCGAGTTCTTACTGTACGATCGTCTTTTGAGAGGGCGATTATACACGTTGGGGACTGGCATTTGTACACCTGAAGTTACTAAGGGTTCAGAAGAGTCATAGGCAGAGGACTTTAAAGCCTATTCCAAACAAAGTTATGTATCCTAGAGGAAAGCCTAAATTTATAGAATTAGCCACAGAGACAGAAATATACAAAGGTGAAAAAAATCTAGGAAAAATACAGTTGCTTGTATCCCTGAGAAGGCCAGATGGAGCTCTGTGAAGCTGCCTCTACCCTTCCCAGGTTCCCCTCAGTGATTATAACGAGATTTGACGAGTACTGAACTCATAACTTTAATTTTTTTTGGAGTACGCATCAGGTCGCTAAATTCCAATCAAGGATTTTTAGAACTCCAAGAACGTGGGGCCGAAGTAGAAGCAAACCACCACAGCCAGCCCTGGTCCGTCACTGTCCTCTCCGTTACCTGAAAGCTCCTGCCAGACTTAAACAAAGAGAATTGGACAGTCACGGCCCCCCGTTCATCAGGAGGTGCCCTGATGGGACACCTCCTGTTTCACCCACAGCTCACTGCATTGCATAGAGCGGACCTGCTACTCAGGAACCCGCTTTTCATCCAGGTGCGGCATTACCTGATATCCCACCTTGGTGAGTCTTTAAGTTTTTAGAGTGCTAGGGCTCCCCTTAAAGAGGAATGGACTGAGCGGCTCCAAGATGGGGCTGTGTTGTGAAATAACCATGGTAAGGGAAGAAGAAGAAGAGGCATTGAAAGCAAATGTTTGGTAGCATGGACGCTTCTCCACCTTGACCTCATGCTGGGCCTGCCCAGGCCCTCCGTTTTGCTTGGCCGCTGTTAATCGTACTTTTTTCAGCGGTTTGTCATGATGCGTCAGCTTTCTCTTGGTCTTTTGGGGTTCGAGACTTATGTCTAAAAGTCATGAGTTTTTTTAGAACATTTGATTGGAAACCCCTCTGTCAGACTCTGTAAATGCCCTCTCTTTTCTCGGTCCTTGTGTGAAAAAAGAAGTGCCCACCTGCCAGTGCAAGAGCACGGGGGTGTGCTGCTGAAGAGGTGACATGCGTGGTGGCCTCAGTTCCCTGAGTCCCCCCCCCCCCGTCTCGGCTGGCCACTGGCATCTGTGGGCCACGCCTCCACTTCTTCTGTTACCATCCTTTTTTATAAGCTTTTCTCCCGTCTGTCTTCCTGAAAGAGAAGCAAGAAGAGGGGGTGTTTAAGAGACACCTGTTGAATTTCTATCTCCTTGGCAGTGTCCTGGACAGTCCCAGCCGACTGGATGAGGAGCACCGGCTTATAGCTCGCTACGCCGCCCGGCTGGCCGCAGAGGCGGGAAACGTGGTGAGTGGACAGAGGGTTCCAGTGGAGTGGCACAAGTTAGCATCACTTTCACGTCTACGTGACAGGGGGGCAGTCGGCCTGACACTCAGGAGAATACGCACCTCGGGGACAGAAGGAGAGGAGCGGGGTTAGGGAAGGGATGTCAGTGGTCTTGAATTTCATCTGTGATATGCTTTCTTCAAAAAGTGAACCAAGAAGAGAAAATCAAAGAGCCAATTTAGTTCTCTGGAAAAAAATCAATAGACGTAATAAATCCCTAGAAATCCTGATCAAGAAAAAGAGAAAGAAACCACAAATTACCAGTATCACCAACGAGAACGGGGCATGGCTACGGATCCTGCAGACATTATTAAGGATGATAAGGGAATATTATGAGCTACTTTTTAACAACCTAGATAAAATGGACAAATTTCTTGAAAGACAGATTAACAATACTGACGTAAAAGTAAATGGAAAATCTAGCTAGTCTTAAACCTGTTAAAATGTATTGATAACTTCCCACAAGGAAAACTTCAAGCTCACATGGCTTAACTGTTAGATATTATCATATTCATAAAAAAGACATTGTAACAAGCTGACATAAACTCTAACAGGAAATAGAGGAAGAAGTTCCTCACCTTCCAAGTCATTTCATCAGACCCCTATAATCTGATACCAAAATAATACAAGGCAATTATAAGAAAAGGAAACTGATAGCCAAATTCTCTTATGATCATGGATAAAAATTTCTTAACAAAATATTAGCAAATTGAGCCTTGGCTAGTGTGGCTCAGTGGATTGAGTGCTGGCCTGTGAAACAAGGGGTCACCAGTTCGATTCCCAGTCAGGACACATGCCTGCGTTACAGGCCAGGTCCCCAGGTGGGGGCGTGGGAGAGGCAACTGCACATCGCTGTTTCTCTCCCTTTCTTTCTTCCTCCTTTCCCTTCTCTCTAAAAATAAATAAATAAAATATTTGAAGAGAAAACTTCTTTCAAAAAAATTAACAAATTGAATCCAGCAGTACACAAACTGGATAATATTCCACAATCAAGTGAGATTTATTTTAGGAATGCAAATTGATTTAATACACAAAAATCAGTTAGTGTAGTTCCCCATATTAGCAGTTTAAAGAAGAAAAATTTAAGGCCATTTCAATAGATGCAGAAAAAGCCTGTGACAAAATATAATCATTATTTATGATACAACTTCTTAATACACCAGGAATAGCAGAAACTTCCTCAGATGATAGATAACAATTACCTAAAAAAAACGTAAAGCTACTATTACACTTAGAGGTTAAATTTTAGGATATTTTGCCTACCTAATATTCTCACAAGACAAAGATGTCCCCTTCTGCCACCCCTGTTCAAAACTGGTCCAGAGGCCCTAGCCAATGCAGCATCACAGGAAGGGCCTAAATATTAGAAAGGGAGACATAAAACTGTTATTGTTTGCAGATGACATGATATTGCATGGAAAATTCCTAAGGAGTCTACCAAGACACTGTTAGAACAGATTCCTGACTTTATAACAATGCTGCAAGATACAAAGTCAATATAAAAATATATTCTATTTACTAGCAGTAAACAAGACAATCACATTTAGGAAAAATGCTATTTCCTATAACATTAAAAATCATCAAATACAAGCAAAGGGCTGAAAGGAGGAGTGATCTGAAGCTAGAACAATAAATGGGCCCTGTGAGCGGTGACCAGGTAAAGAAACTGTAACGCGTGCCCACTGGGGTGTTCTGACGAATGTCAAGGCCCAGGGTGGGAGACTTCAGTAAGAGAACAGTCCGGAGTGAACTGGGCTGGACAGGACGCCAGGTCGCCCAGGACCGCAAACACAGTGTATTAACTATAGAAATGTGTGCCAGTCCGTGCTTGCTTTTTCATAGGAAGGTAGAGTTATGAAAGCTGCCAACAGAGAATCTTGCTTTGTTCCCCCCCGCAAAAGCAATGTATTCCTTTGCATTTGTTTTTAATTAAAAATAAATTTTTTTTAAAATCTCATATCAGGTCCTACATCAGACTCTAACATTGCAATTCCAAAGGTCAGTGAAATAGAACAGAATGGGGGAAATTCTGGGGAAAAAGCAAAGTTCTGTTTATTAAACCTCACACATACACTCAGTCACAACTGTCCACGTTATTTTAACAATTACAATTTGTAAACAAAATTCATGAAACTCATTGAGATGGACAGCATCGTGGTTGAGTTTTTTTAAATTAAGTATATTTAATGCCATGATGTAGTCTTGTTGACTTTGCACGGAACTTTCAAAATGCCATAAATTAAAGCTCCAAAGCCATTTGACCCTGAATAGGAGATTGCAGCTCTCCTTCGTGGCAAACAAGATAAGGCTGTTTACACCTGATAGTGTCCGATACCAGCTCTCTTACTCGTGTGAAAATGGTCATTGTTAGAGGGGGCTTGGGACTGAATACTGATATGGCCCCTTTCATCTGCAGCTCATTTTCTGAAGTGTGGTGGTCTTATAAACATTAGACCTCTCAGGCTGGGTTCTCCTAGACTGGATTTCTGTTACACAGAAGGCTTCTAATCCGCTAATCTCTCACTGATACAAGTGCTTTGCGTAAAGTGGGTGTAGTGCTCAGAAGAATTTATAGCCTGCCAGATAGACTTTGCATTGATTTTTTTTAAAAAACCTTCCTCCACAAAGAAAGACCATTAAATCATCCGAGCAGCCCGTAGTGGGCTTCGGCCTCAGAGTCCCCGTGTCCCCTTCCCCGGGGGACAGGGGGAGGGGACACAGTAGCCATGGACACTGCAGCAGCCTCACCCTCAATTGAAGATTCTAGGTGCCTGGAGGAGCCAGGGGAACTAATTTGTTTTTTTTTCTGAAGAAGCAAACAAAGCAAAACTACAATGTGTGAAAAGTCCTAATAATAACAGTAAATTCTTAAAGTTACATCACAAACATCACCAGCCTTAGATATGCTCAGATGTTTGAGGTTTATCTCTAAAGTAATTTTCTTTATGAAAAAATTAAAAATTCACAATGGAAATCTTGGAAGAAAGGTGGAAAGGAAGGGGAAACTTTTGCGTTTGCACCCCACTAAGCTGCACACAGTTTTGAGATGCTTTTACCCCGGTGGCACGGCTTAGCCATCACAGCATCTTCCCGGGTCAGCACGCACCGTCCCAGGAGTCTCCTGTGGCTCCTTAGAAGTACAGATCCGCGGTGTCCGTGTGGCGACTTGCACACACTCACCGACTCAGAATCCCCCGTAAAAACAGTGAGTGGCAAACCTGACATTCTAGTCGTGTGAGGCAATTAAAAAATAGGTCCTTGGCTTTGCCTCAGACCTGCTGAATCTCTTGGTTTTTTTATTTTTATGTACAAAAGGAGTAGAAAATTCCCGGTCTTGGGGACCACCACCCTAAAAGACATTATTGGGTGTTTGAGAGACAAGTGAGAGATTGGTGATCCACAGCCCCCCAGGTAGTCGAAGTGGGTTCGGGGTGATGGCCGGACTTCCTCTGCAATTCAGAGGGGAGTCTAGTTGGTATCAGGCACGTACTTCTCTTCGGAATTCGTCCTCGCCAGGTTCATACAGATGGGGAGCCTCCGGTCTGCAGGGCCCGGCAGAGGCAAGGCCTACTTGGGTGTGGTGGGTAGCGTAATAATGTGGTTGTAATAACTTGTAGTTTTAATTTGAGCATTCCACCTGAAACATCATATGGAATGCTTGAGTGTGATATTGTTATGTCACAGAATTACATGCTTATGATTTTGTGGTAAAAGATTTTGTAATAAACAAGGGCGTTATTTGGGCCGGACCCTGTATTTTCAGGAGGCCACCGAAATGCACGTTACCAGATTACAGTTCGCTGACCGCTGGCGTCCCTTGGTTGTGAACTTGCGCCCAGTTTCACTCAAGGGGGCCTTGTCTGTCACCCTGTACTTTTCAAACGTGTCCCCATCTCATGAAAGATGACGGAGTTCTGTGAGGTTGCCTGAACCGAAGGGATCCTCTTCACACCTCTTTTTGTAAATATCCCCACTTTACAGACAAGAAAATAAAGTCCCAGTAAAACAAAATAACTCAAGGTCTCCACGGCGAGCAAGTAGCAAAACCTAGGATTCCTAACTAATCTCCCCACTTCCATTCCTACCCCACTACAGCAGATTCCCCACTGGGGGGCCAGAGCAGCATTGTTCGTAATAAACTTCTATTCCAGGACAGTTGTAGATCTGCAGAAAAACCTCGAGGCCAGGACGGAGAATTTCCACACAACCCATACTCGGTTTCCCGATACTAACGTCTTACATTAGTGTGGCGTGTTGGTGGCAATTAATGAGCCCATATCGATGCACTATTGTTAACCAAGGTCCATATTTTATTCAGACCTTGTTAGTTCTTTACCTAATGTCCCTTTTCTGTCCCAGGATCTCATCCAGGATGCCACGTTGTACTTAGTTGTTGCGTCTCCTTCAGTCCCTCTCGGCGGTGACAGTTTCTCTGACTTTCCTTGTTTTTGATGGCCTTGCTGCTTTTGGGGAGGATTAGTCACACACCGTAGAATGTTCCCTGCATGGGATTCGCATGATGTTTTCCTCATGATTAGGCACAGACCGTGGGTTTTGAGGAAGAAGAGGCAAGAGTCACTTTTCTGTCATATCAAGGGTACATAGGATCAGCATCATTCATCACTGTCGCTGTTGACCTTGGTCGCCCGGCTGAGGAAGTATTTGTCAGGGTTTTCCAACATAAAATTCCTGCCCCGCCTTCCCACGCGGCCTCTTTGAAAGGAAGTCATCACGGGCAGGCTGCACAGGAACGGGGAGTCAGGCTCCACTTCCTCCAGGGGAGAGCGTGCTCCTGCGCTACTCGGAATTGCTGTGTTTCCCGTCCGGAGTCCTGTAGTGGCTTCGCACCACATTCGGGATGAAACGGGGGCTCCTGTCTGCAGCCCTCCGTGATCTGGACACCAGCCTCATCTCCCAGTTCTGACCTGAGAACAGCAAACGCGCCAGCCGCAGGCCTGTGGCCTTTGCTCCTCCCACTGACCTCCCCCTGGTTCGCTTCCTGCTGTCATCAAGTCTCTGAGAGCGTTTCCCCACCACCTCAGTTAAAGAGAGTCCCTGCCTCAGCTCACTCTGTCTCGTGACCCTGCATTTCTCCATTGCATTTATCACAGCGGCCGTATACCTTTCTGTCCCGGTGTAATGTAAGCCACATGAGGGTGGGGGCTGTGTCCTACCCACTAACACATCCCTGGTTTCTGAAACAGTGTCTAGCATGTAGTAAGCACTCGGGAAATATTTGTTGAATGAATGAATGCAGGAACTATTGAATTTTTGAAGGAAATCATCTTTAGGTCTCTTCTTGCCCAAGTAGTCTGTGTCTTTATGACCTAATAATTCCCTTTCTGCTTTTTTTTTCCTCTTTACTGTCCTGAGCATTTTAGAAATAAGGATACCTGGCTTGATTGATTGATTTAAAGGAGCACCGTGGTATTTAAGGTTGCAAATAAATAAAATGCTCAGTCTCTCTGTTATTTAATGGGCCGTTGACTGTGTTTAAAATCTGACCCGGTGAAATAAGCCATCCGTGGACATTTGCCAGTGGGGCGCTCCCCGTTCTGTCCCCAGGCACGACGCCCCAGTGAGAGTGCTGCCTGGGGTCCCACTGTTCCTTGCCCCGCCCCCGCCCCCGTCTTTGTATCTGAGCCACGATGCTCCTCAGTGCCACAGACTCCTGCTGGGCAGGAGCCTCTGCCGATCATGACCCCTGATCGCCGTATCAGCCTCCCCTCTGAAAGGTGCCTTTGAGCGCAGTCAGACGCTCAACACTGAAAAGGTCCTTTAGAAATGTCCAGTGCAATACTATGGGGTTTTCGTCTGTTTGTTTTCTATCTAGGAAGCAGATTCCCTTCAGAGATCATTTCCTCCTAATTTTCCCTGGTCCCACTCTAATAAGAAGCCATTAGTATGAACTCCAGTTTTCAGAAATTGTAAATCTATTATTCATAGCAGGTTCAGTCTCAGGCAAGCCATTTTTCTGAGGTTCAATTCAGCGTCTCATAAGACTCTTAATAGAATATAGAAAATATGCTGAATTGGCTGCTGGTCCACTCATCTCTGGAGGAGAAAAAAGAAAAACATTTGCTAAAAACCTCCCACCCAGATTTGCTCTGCGGCTTTGCTCCTGTTTGTTTAGGAAATGCACCTTCAGGCCTCATACAGGGATCAAGGTTCCTGCTTCAGTGCAGGTCAGGCTCGGGGCGGAACTGAGGGTGAGCAGAGCGGGGCACCGCCGTGGAAGGACCTTCCTTCTCTGAGAGCATTCGCTCTGGTTAACAGCAGAGGGGAAGCATCACCCGTTCCTCCATTTTCCTAGTTCGTGTTGATTGGCTTCCGTATTCTTGAAGGGTGTAGCAAGTGTTAGCGACATCAGTGGACTTACAAAACAAAACCACGATGATTTCTTCAAAGATAACATATAAGGGACAATCAGCACATGAAAGTGCACTTACCACAGTTGTCAGGAGGAAGATGTAAATCGATTCCACAGCGAGAGAGCGCTCCATACCCACTAGGAGGAGGGTGATCAGAACGAAGGACAGGAACAGGTGCTGACGAGCCCATGTGAAAAACAGACTCCGCGGGCAGCGAGAGCGGGAACGTGAAATGGCTCAGCCCCTTAGGAAAACGGTTTGGTGGGCCCTCCGACGGCAGTTACCACATGACCCAGCAATTCCCCTCCTGGATGTCCACCCAAGAGAAATGAAAACACATCTCCATGCAAAAACGTGTCCACAGATGTTCATAGAAGCATTAGTCAAAATAGCCAAAAAATGGGAACCATTCAAATACCCACCAACTGCTGAATAGACAAAATGTGATCTGCCTGTAGCATGGACTGTCACGCAGCTGTACAGAAAGAACGAAGTCCTGATACATGCGACAACGTGGACGAACCTCGAAAACATTTTGCCACGTGAAAGAAGCCAGATATAAAAGATATACCTATTGCATAATTCCATGTGCACGAACTGTTCAGAATAGGCAAGTCCAGAAAGACAGGAACCAGACCCGTGGCTGTCGGGTGGGGGCGGGGCCGTGGGGGGTGACAGCTCATGAGCTCGAGGGGTTTCTTCCTGGGGGCGATGGAAACATTCTGGGATTACGTAGTGACGATGGTCTCACAAAATCATAACTCTACTGGAAGCCACTGTACCCTTTCAAAGGGCCGGTTTCATGGCGTGTCAGTTATATCTCTTTTTTTTTTTTAAACCCACAGTTAGATATTTCACACCCACCAGGGCAATTAAAACTAAAAAGACAATGACACATTTTAACAGGATGTGGAGAATCACTCCCGGATTCATTGTTGGTGTGATTCTAAAAGGGAATAGCCACCTTGGAGAACAGTTTGACAGTTCCTCTCAACGTTAAATATAGAGTTACCATATAACTCGGGAATTCCACTTTTAGGCGCTTACCCAAGAGAAATGAAAGCAGACATCAATGCGTAGCTGCTTTGTTGAATGGCCCAAAGCCGCAACCGTGGAACGCTAGTCGGCAGTAAAAAGAGGGAACTCCTGACTCATGAAGCAGCGTAGATAACCCCCAGAAACACCATGCGAAGTAGAAGCTAAAAGCCAGTGACTACATGTCATGTAATTCCATTTACAAGCAGCTTCTAGAAAAGGCAGAGCTAGACGGCAGACCTGCGGGTGCCTGCACTGGGGGTGGGAGTAAGGGGCAGTTGACCCACGCTGGCACGAGGGGCGTTTTTTTGTGGTGGTGGAAGGAAATGTTCTAAAGCTGGACTTTGGGCAACTGGCTCCACCCCTGTTTAAATTCACTAAGACTCGTTGAACTGTACACTTTAGATGGGTGGGGTCTCTGGTAGGTAATTCCTAAAAAATGAGTCAACAGTCTATCTGGGACTCTGGATATATTTGAATCAGGGGAGAAAAAAAAACAACCTTTCCGTCTCCTCACTGCAGCCCCGCCCTCCCACTGACCTGAGCTTTAACTTCGATGCCAACAAACAGCAAAGACAGCTCATTGCAGAACTGGAAAACAAAAACAGGTAAGAATGCAGAGGCTGAGCCGGTTTCTGAAGTCCTGGGTTATCACGTGAGTATCTCACTTTCCTGGCAGACTAGATATCTTTTGACCACAAAGGAAGAACCAACCCCCCGCCCCCACCTCCCCAGTGAATATAGGCCAGCCCGAGCCCAGTAAATTCCCTGGACACTGAGTTGCATATCTGCCTGGTGTTCGTGGCCCTAGTCCAAAACCCTGCTCACCTGCCCTCAGGCAGGTTCTTTTCCCGGTGCCTGCTCACACCCACAGGTGTGTTTCTTTCTCACTCCCAGGGGCCTTGTGCCCTCTCTGGTCATCTTGTCCTGGCTCATTAGGCTGTGGGTGGCTGGTCTGTCACTAAGAAAGCCATATAAAGGCTTGGAGACCAGACGACACCCCATTGTGTGCTGAAAGACGGAAGCCAGGCCAAGGAGACGGGACGTAATAGAACAGGCACAGGTGGAAGCCACTCTCCGCCACTTGGGGTCAGGGGAGGAAGGGAGACGGGACGCCTTGGGGCGAGTTAGTCCAGGGCCTCAGCAGGTGGCAAGGTGTTCTCTTGCCTTTTCCCCGGGGGTGGAGGGACACAGTATTCTGTTGTCATTTCCCTCTGGGAAGACTTTTTCAAGTTGTCGAGAAGAGTATTTCAATGGCTTTCTCTACCATGAAAGACTGTTTCCTTGAGTGCCGTGTGCCGCGGTGTTAAGGAGGTGTCCGCTTCCCCTCGCGGTCACTTGGAAGCCATCAGGATGAGGCTGGCAGAGGCTGCAGGGCAGGAGTGAGAGCTTGTGCCGGGAAGAGAGAGAGCGGGAGGCCCTCTGGGGCCCTCTTCCTTCCTTCCTTCCCCTCTCCAGGGAGATCCTGCAGGAGATCCAGCGTCTCCGCCTGGAGCACGAGCAGGCGTCCCAGCCCACCCCGGAGAAGGCCCAGCAGAACCCCACGCTGCTGGCCGAGCTGCGGCTGCTGAGGTGAGAGGCGGGCTACCGCATCACGTGACCGTCTGCTCCCGTGGGAATGTGTGTCCCAGGAAACCAAGGCAGTGGGACAGAACCTGTGTATTGGTGTAACTAGTCCGGTCGGAACAAACACTGAAGGTTCCCCTCGTTCTGCTACGGCTTCAGACGCTTGGGTTCCTCTGTTCATCGCTCTGAGAGCGTCTGCGGGCATTACAGAACTAGGGGAGCACTGTCTCCCGCTCCATGCCAAGCAGAGCAGGGCTTGTTCTTCTGCAGTTGCTTCAGGAAGACGGTGGCGCTGCATTCCACCTCCGGTCTCTCTCATCAGTCTGCCTTCAGGGACTGTCGGCGGGAGTAACACTTTCTCTGACCTACGGGTCTGTTCTCCTGGCTCTTCCTAGTCAGGGCAGGACTGTGCTGGAGGAAGAACGCTTCCCACGCACATTACGCTGAGACCTGAGACCACGAGGGAAGGCTGGGGAGCCTTCCCACTGCCACATACATATGAACTGTCTCCAAGATCGGGAGGCTCAGGGTGCAGGATCGGGAGAGTAGGGAGCAACTCCGGCTCCCGTCCGGATGCTCTTTTGGAGGGAACGAGGAGGTCTTCCAGACGAGCGCAGCAGGAGAGCCATCTGATCGAAGTTATTACACTCTAATTCGCTGTCAGTCTTAGAAAGACGTGCGTGTCTTCCGTAAGGGAGACTGTCTGGAAATTGAGTGACTCGAGTCCGCCAGACCTCTAGACTTCCAACTGGTGGTGCATTTTTTTCTGTTCAGGCTGTGACATTTAACATTCCATGGTGAGCTTTAATGTGCTGTCACCTGGGATTCTAGCTGAGTGTCCTTTCTGAGTTCTTTTGACTTCGGCCACGTAGCTTCTCAACCACGGCTTCTTGTCCTAGAAAAGAGAGAAGCTAGTTTTTCTGTGACTGTCATTCTGTTTAGATTTATAGCATTCATAAACAAGTCATAAAGAATCTTAAGTGTGCAGATGAAAATCATCAGAGGTGGAGAGGTCCCCATTTTTCTAAAAATTCATTTTAGTTTCTAAATCTAGTTGGGCTGAGCCACTGGGCCGAGCCCGTGGCTGCCCTGCAGGCCACGGCCGCACATCGGGGAGGGCGCCGGGCCAGCTGGTTTTGCACGGAGCACACGGGCTCCCTGCCTCACGCTGTGCACCAAAAAAAGAAAAGTGCCGACAGACAGATTACACATGGAGACGAAACCTCAGAACTTCTGGAAGAAACTGTAGGGGAATTTCTTTAGGATTTGGGAATAGAAAATAATTTCTCAGAATTACTAAGCATGAAAGAAGTTCATGATTTCATCCATGTTAATAACTTTTGTTTATTAAAAGACATGTAAAGGGCAAGGTTCATTTGTAGGTACCTGGTGCCCTTCTGTCCCTGATGGATACATAGGAACTGCCAGGTACTGCCAGTGCCCCGCCCTATCACAGAACCAAACAGAGGGTTTCATCGTTAGGGTCAGTGGTGATGCCTCCTGACCGCTAACGTTGTGTTTTCCTCCGTTATCGTTATTCTAACGGTATGTTCGTCACAACAATACGTGTGACAAAGGTGTGAAATATGGAGCATGGGGAGAAGGTGGACCGCATCCTACTTGAGAACTCATGTGACAGAACCCCATCATGTGTGTGCGTGCCCCCTCATCCCACATCCTCACCGTCGCCTTCCCCCACGGAGCGGACCTCTCTGCAGAATTGGGTTTGTTCTCCCCTTGCTTTTTAAACAGTGTTATCAAATATATGTGTACTCCTACCTAACAAGGTACTTAGTTTGCTTTTGTTTTCTGGACTTTATAGAAATAAATATGCAGCCTTCCGGGATTTTCCCCCCTCCGTATTACTCTTTAGGATCCTCCCATGTTGCTGCACATGGCTGTAGTTTATTCATTTTCACTGTGTGTTGTAATTATTTGGTCGTGCCAGCACAGAGAACAGGCACTGTGTCCAGTCCCAGGGATTCAGGGAAGAATGAGCGAGCTCCCCTGATTGCATTTATACTGTGCTGGAAATGTGGGGTGAATGATGATGAGAAGACAGTGAATCCATCCTAAAACTTTATAATCTAGTTTTGGGAACAAAGCATGAGTTGCTAGTCGCCTGAATAACGTTATACAATGTTCATAAGTAGTATGGATAATATAAGCAATCTGAGCAGTGTGTTATAAGAATCTAAATCTGTACAGGCTAGAAGCACTTAGACCCATGGGGTGGGGGAAGTTGAGCGAGACCGTGAGAGGTAGGTATGACTCGCATGGAGTGTGAGACCGACCATTTCTGATTAGAAGTGGTGTTGGGGTTCGGCATGATCCCCCAAATAAGTATAACACATTTCACAGAGGGGAAAGGCTCTCAGAGCTAAGTATTTTCAGTCATCCATTGAGTTTATCTTTAAGTGCCAGTGATAGGAGATAAAATTAGTTAGTTAATTGATACCAGATTCTAGAGAACCTTAAGCAATAGGCCATTGGAAATCCTTGAAGGGTTCCAAATAATGATCTCTCTGAATTAACTAGGGGTTAACCTAGTACATACTGGATGCATGATAGTCTATTAAGGCTCATCCCGTAACCTGAAGGATTTTGCAGCGGCAGGAATGACAGCACGGTCATGCAAGGTAAAACAAAGTGCCACGGAGAAGCACCGATTGCTGTAGTGATGCGTTAAGCAGGACCCGAGACCTGCCGGAGTAGTCAGGAGCAGCTTCATGGAAAGAGTGGTTTGGGATGGACTTGAAGAAGTGAACAGCATTTGGAAGGTGGGGGGTAGCTGTGAGTTGTAACTTGATGGGGTCTGTTTAGGGAGAAGTGCACCCTCTGGAGGTCCAGACGCAGGGAGTAGGAGGTGAGGCGCTGAGGACAGGGTTGTGGGCGGGGTCTGGAGCCGTGCCCTCCGATAGAAATACATTGTGCACGTGCACAACTAAAACTTCTCTGACACCCACAGTGAAAAACTAAAAGCAAATAGGTGCCATTAATTTTAATGCTACCTTTTACTTGACCCGATACATCCAAAATACTATCATTTTCACATTTAATCAACCTGAAAAATTATTAATGAGATAGTTTACTTTCTTTTGTCCACACGACACATGTGAAACCCAGTGTGTATGTTACTTCCAGTGCTTCTCAGTTAAGACTGGCTGCCTGTGGGCGGGCACACGTGGCTTGTGGTTACCGTATGGGGCGGCAGAGGTCTAGACTGTACGAGGCAAGAGCTGGTGACACCAGAAATCCTACCGAGGTCGTTACACGGGATGATGAAATGGACGCAGCTTCCTTTGAGCGGCACGGCAGACTTCACAAAATACTTTCATCGTCATTACCTTATTTGTGCCGCAGAATATCACTGATGTTATTCGTTATCAGCCCCATTTCACAGAGTAGAAACTTGAGGCTCAGGCAGGTGAAGTGACTTGTCCCAAACTGCACATTTAGAAAATGATGGGCCTCCAGTCTCCCACTGCTGGTTGCTCACCGTAACCCATGACGTCGGGATCAGCCGAGCTAAGAGGCCACTGGGCGTGCACTTGTAGAAGGGAGAGAAGGGAGAATAGGAAGATGGGCACACACGTTTCCAGGAAGGAGTTCTCTGAGCCAGGTGACTGCACTGACTACAGCACAGAGGACAGGACGCATCAAAGAGGAGCGACTTGGGCAGCCGTGACACCCGGAAGAAAACGGGGCGGAGACGGGGCAGCTGGGAAGGAGAACGCTGGGGGAGGGCAGTCGGGCCTGACGGTGGACGCGCGCAGCCAGCACTGACCCGAAACCCGTCCTCAGGGCAGAGCGAGTCGTCCTGGTGCCCGTCGCAGGTTCCAGGACCGGCGTTGGGGGCTGGGAGCGCGCGGACTACCGGACCCTGGTGTTCCCGGGCGGTGTTCATACCTTTTCCCCACTATTAGTCTAAGTTTGCACGGGTTCTGTGTGTTTTTCTAAATGAGGCGTTTGACTTCTCGATGAATTAATTTTTTCAAACACTTTAATAATACTAATAGTAGTAAGTTTTCTCTATTTGGCCATGTATACTTTTCAGAGCATGTTTATGCTATTCTCACAGTAACACAGGGGGCGAAATAGGTGTATAACCCCTTTGTACGTAAGGTATCAGAGGTCAAATGGCTCACTCAGCACCTCATACACTGGTGAGTAGCAGAACTGGGTCCAAAACAGACCTTACCTGGCCTCAGACCCTGTATCTTCGAAGTCTCGTTTCTCATGGGCTTTTCCTCTTGGACAGGCAGAGGAAGGACGAACTGGAGCAGAGAATGTCGGCTCTGCAGGAGAGCAGGCGGGAGCTGATGGTTCAGCTGGAAGGGCTCATGAAGCTGTTGAAGGTAAGAGCCAGTGCCTCCTCCGGCCACTCGCTGTCGTGTCCCCCACCCACCCCAGGGCAGCTCGGGCCTCCCACCCCCTGCGAGGTCGGAACAGGAGGAGGCTGAAGGCCGACGTATTGCTGCCTAGACCCAGTTTCTAGGTAAACCTCCGTTACGGCAGTCTGAGTCATTACGACAGTGATCGGCAGTGGTGCAAAGCCTGATTTTAAAAGAAGAAATTCAGAACTGGGACCAGAGTAATGTCTTTGAATAGTTGCTTTTGTGGATCTTTATAAATAAGACATTGGCTACATATAAATGAATATTTCCCAACTATCTGAAGTTTCTTTTAAGACAAGTATTCAGATATTCCACCTACAAGCATTATGTCCTTTTTTAATAAGTATCGCCGAGGCACACCAGTCTTACCGGGCTAACCCTAATCGATAACTTCGCTGTATGAGAAGGAATGAAATAGCGTGTTAGTTCTAGGTTTGGTGGGTGGGGGCTTGAATAAATCTGGGATCATTCAAATCTCACTGTTTTTTGTTGTAAAATACATTACAACCCCGACACCCAGGGCCGAGAAAGGCGTGCTTGCCATGTAAATGCCCTCCCTGGACAACTTGGTTAGCACCGAACAGAAACGCGTACCCAGCCACGGAGTGGCAGTGCCAGGGCACACCTGTTCCTGCCGTCAAGGCCTAAGGCCCGGGCTCTGAAACCGCTGGCTGCCGAGCCAGGACGGAGTCAGCAGTCAGCGCGGAAACAGGGAGATGTGCGGTGCTCCCAGCGCCAGGTGGGCGGCGGGGGGGCGTGGATTTAATCCTGTGATAGAGGGGGGTCTCTGAAGGTGCTGGGAAAGTAGGAAAATATGCAGAACGGGTGAGAAAAGGGAGGAACTGAAGGAAGAAAGGAGACCCGTGAAACCGTCCAGGCCCGAAGTGACGAGGGGCCTGGGGCAATGGCCCGAGAAGATGTCACCTTGGAAAACATCGACTCTCCTTCACACCGGTTCCTCCATTCTAAACCAGTGCCTTAAAAATGAAGCTAGTGGTCTTGGCACCCGGGTAAATGTGTTCTAAACTGACTTCTGACTTGCTCAGGACAGTCACTTCCTTCAGTCCTGAGCACAGTTTGTTTCTCGCTTTGGTCCTGGGTGTTGGGGTTGTTTTGCCTGGATGCAGTTCTGCATGGACCCCATCCACAGGACTTCTCCTGAGAAATGTCTGAAGTCTTAGTGGGTCTTGTTTGAAGGAAATCTTGGCATAAGACCTGGCCCAGGTCCTGTCAAGTATCCGGCTAAGCAGCCCGTCCGCCCCTCAGCATCTCGGGCCTCGTGGGGCTCTGGAAGCTTGGCTGTTGGGAGGTGAGCCCACCAGTGGGTCAGAAATGCCAGGGGATCCACGCACTACTCCCCTGTGTCGAAACTCCCTTTCAGAAGATGCTCTCAAACATTACCCAGACACAGATGGAAAGGTGCCCCAGGCTTATTTTTGTGAAAAGTGAAAAGTTTAGAAAAGTTAAAGGAAGTGAGAATTTCCTCTAACTACCACCACACTTTCCGTCAGCTGGTTGCCCTCAGTGTGCCCGGGGTCCCGGGCTCAGAGCTGGGAGTGCATCGCTGTGACCTCCTAGTTCGGCTGTGACCTCCTAGTTCGGCTCTGACGCGTGTCGTCAGGGGCTGAGCAGCATGCGCGGAGGCCCAGAACTCGAATCCCGAACCCCGAGGTGCTTGCATTTCCAGCTGTTGTCTTGAGGTTACAATTTCTGTAAAAGAAGCAGGACCCCACTGCCCCATTCTGTGGGATCCCCATCTGGGTTCTTAATCAGAAATATTGTTATCTACCCACCTGACAGGCGGAGGCCGTGCAGACTGGGGGGAAGGATTTACAGATTCCCCCAGGAACGTCGTCTTCTTTTCCACTGACGAGCATTCACAGCTGAAATCTCATTCCTTTCATGTCCAGCTTCCTCAAAGGCTTACAGTCTTAATTTGTGTATTAGGTTCCTCCTAAAGGGTCAGCCCCACGTAGGAATCACTGACTTCAATTAAAATTGCAACAATGTTTTCCTACCACTAAAAATACATATATTCACCAACACATGACAAGAATACCCTTTGGAATTCCCCTAATTTTTCTTCCAAACGGCTGTCCTGCTTCCCCGATGTTCCATCTGCCAGCATTTAACCCACTCACAGAGCAGCCGGGAGCAGCGAGTCAGACGGACAGGCAGGCCCACGGTCTGGGGCGCTCAGGAATCGGAACGCACCCCGAGTCACGTCTCCATTTCCCAGGGCGTTCCGTCATTTCCCTGCTTCAGCGAAACGTTACGTGCTTTGTCTGAAGAGTAGCTGGGAAGAAGCGTGCATATGAAGTGCCATCATTGTTTACGAATTCACTGAACAAAAATCATAAACCCTTTCTTTTTTTTGGAACAAGGTTGGGTAAACATTAATCATACATTTAACACAAAAGTATTGAATTCCTGAGTGCCGTGTTTACATACTTGGCATGTCAGGGTGAGGAAGACTCCATTCCTGTCGCCAGGGAGTGTCGGAGACCTCAGTGCTTTGTTCCGAATGACAGGACACAGGCCGACCCTCGGGCTCCGTGGTTCAGAGCGCCTTCTCCGTCCGTGCTCCCCTGATTGATGAGTGTGTGGACGGCTCGGCCCCCCCCACTTCTTACTTAATCTAGAAATGGTTATGTGTTGGCATTTCAGTTCCTAAATCATGTCCCCAATATTTTTCTACATCATTTTCCATTTTCCCATTATTGCTTTGGAAACACATTTACCAGATGAATTGCGCAGTTTGGAATTTCAACGTCGTTTGCAAATGAGGCTTCGCCATGAAGTTTTAGATGGATGAGTGCAGCGACGGTGGCATTCCTCTGGGCAGCTGGCCAGGCGTCCCCTGTGTGCAAGAGCCCCTCACGCCGTAGGTGACGTGGCAGTTCCGGGTTTGCGCTGCATAATTGAGGTCGTATTGCCCCCTTTAAATCACGTTGGCCGCTATGCCTCGTCATCAACTCAATGTTTACCAACCCTAACTGACCAATTGATAACAGAAATGTTCTAAGACCTTCTATCTGGCCTATTTTCTGTGTTGACACAGCCTTCAAGGCTTTATCTGAATGACTTTTGTGAGTTTGAATTATACGACACCGTCCTAAGTAACACTTTGCCAAAGTCCACCCTCTCCCAACCCCGGTGCTCACAGGGGCCTCTGAGTCCTGATGAGTCCTGAACACGCTGCCCGTCCACCTCCATCCCCACCCAACCCCCCAGGTCTAGTGCAGGCTGAGTGGTTTCATGTCTGAGCAAACTGTGTACAAGTCACCGGGTCTGCAGACAAACTTGAAACGTTGCTTTTTGGAACTCCCCTGTTCTGTCGGACCAAAGCAATGTTTTCTCCAATCCCACACCTGGAGAAAACAGAGAGAATGGGAGGTGTCCTAGGGTCAATTCTAAGGAACCTCCATACTGGTCTTTTGACCTCAGATGCGATCTCAGCCTGTCAGGATGGCTGCCTCCCTCCCTCACCGTTTCAGTTTGCATGGCAACACTTAGTACCAGCAAAACAAAACACGTTTTTAAAATTGTTTCCTAACTCTACTAGGACTGTTTGCCTTACCAGTGAATGGAAGAAGAGTATTCTGTCCTCCAGGGAAGCCTGGCTGGGAAGGGGGATGGCTTCCCAACTGCAAAGCCCTAACCCCTTCCAACTAGAGCCCGGTGTGCCGGGTGGAAAAGACGCTGCTGACTCCCCAGGCTAACCCAGCTCGCGGTCAGGGCCCACGCTGCCACGTTGCAGCTGACTTTCATTATGAGAACACCTTCCTGGGCCGACGTGGAAAGTTTTAGAGCCCCTTTCGTTTCTAGAAATCCATGTCTCACCCTTATAGGAGTAAAGTTATCTTCTCCAAATGGTTACTTTCTCTCTCCCTTTTGTAATTACTGGGCTTTCCTGAAATCGTTCTCCACACTGCACGCAGACATGCGCCCTGAGAAGCCCTCGCCCTTCCCTGAGACACCCGCACACAAGGTCGTTGAAGGGGAACAGTTACAACAGCCTGCAGATGCGCGTGCTTGGGGCCAAGAGCAGGGGCTTCCCGACCACGGTTACCCGTAATGAGGCACCGAAAGGGAGCAAGGACGCCCATTAAAAGACAGAGTGGTAGAGGAACAGTGGACGGGACAGGACGAGGAGAGGGAAACTTCCTGGAAGTGTGATCTGTGTCCGCTGTGCCGTTCTCTCCAGCGCCTGGGGGCGCGTGCTGAGCACCCCCGGCCAGCGGCTGCCTGCTGCGCACTGTTGTGAGGCTCCAGAGGCGGAGACCGTCTTGTTTCCAGACCTTCACCAGTTGGAAATACTAAATAAACCCAAGTGAATTCAGGAAAAAGTGAGGTCTCTCAGGGCCCTGAAGCAGTTTTGAGTTTACTGGGGGAAATGCTCTATTCTTCAGAAAAACCAAAGCAGCCCGGAAGCAAGTGGAGGGGAGGGCCCCGATTCAGAAACCAGTCTGTGCGCACATGGATTGCCAGCTGGTGTGTGTGTCGCGGGGCGGGGGGGGGGGGGACGGGGGAATTGCTGGCAAGGGAAGTCCCTCGAGCAGTGGTTCTCAAACTGGCGGTCAGCAAAATCAGCTGAAAGGCTCATTGAATACATTGCCACGCCCCATCCTGAGAGTTTTGATCCAGTTTGTGAGGGGTGGGGCCCAAAATCTGCATCCAGGACAGGTTTTCAGGTGCTGCTGCCGCCACTGCCACCGGTCTCTATGCTACACTTTGAGGACCACTGCCTGGATAAAGGTGCCGGAACTCCTATGAATATTGTGAATACCGAAAAGGTTATTGGACTTTTTGAGTCATGGTTGAGCCCCTTCTTCAGGGTTTCTCCAGGTGGTTATAGTTGGGAAAGTTCGATGCTGTAAGTGAGCCTTTTTGATGCATCACGTGATGAAGTTGGAGCAGGTGGTTTTTCAGGTTCTTTCCTTGCAACTCCAGAAGTCAGT